CAACCAACACTTTCACACTAAATGGAGGTGATTCCTCGTAAACCAACTTTTATTCGCAATTTCACATAACCTTGCTTTCCCAAAAGTTATTCTCATCCAAGCTGAATTGGACTGTAGTTTCGGCCTCGCCTATGCCCTATCAACACCTGAAGCGGGACTCGAATCATGACACTGCAGCTTATAATCTCGACACGTTAACCGCTAGGTTCAGGTGAAACGAGTGTGTGCCCTTGGGGCATCGGTTAAGTGTATATTTCAAGATAGGTCAAGCATTTTCCATTATCACGTTATCTGGTGAAGCAAATTTATATGTTGTAGCAATCGCCTAGATTAATTTTTTTGATAAAATTCAACAAGAATATAGTGAATATATCTAATATGCATGATCTACTGGAAGTCACGAAAAACCTGCTAATAAAATGAAAAACTTTCAGTACAATTAAACCTATTATTCTTCCTGGTTGAGATGTAACCTCTTGCCAAAATCACCATTCACATGACTCGACATCTTGCCTGACTTGAGCGACAAGATGTGCTTGCCTGCGTTAACTGATTGATGAGACAACCGAGGCTTGTGGTCTACATTTCACTTGGTTGTCTTACAACTCGACTGAGCCCTCGTCAAAACTCGTCTGAGCAACATGGAAATAGGTAGAAAAGTCTGCCTCAGCTGGAAAGGAATATTTGCATTTAGCGTTGTCAAAACGGAGACTCGGTAACCAGTGGATTAAGACTGCTTTACGAGATGTCACTATGGCCAATTAACCTAGGCTACCAATGAGTAGAGTATCCAAGGTTTAATTACGACCTCCTGACGGCAAGACTGTGTGTGCCTTAGGGGGTGAGTAGGCAGGCGAAGTAGTACAATAAATTCGCTTAATCCATTTATGATGACGAAGCAAAGTCCCTTTGGGCCGGCCACCTCGGGGGTGGCTTGGGGCCGGCCGGAACTATGAACAAGGGTTGATAGACTTTGCTTGTACACGGTGAAGAATAGTGTCTAAGCGGAGAGAGGGGACAAAAAGTCGAGGTCTTGGCAACAACTTGGTCCACCGACTATACCCAATGCCATCTGCCGAAAGGGGGTCACTGGCCGGCCTGACTTGGCGGACACTATTCGCAAGTCTTTCACTGACCTGAAAATGTGTCTAACAGGCCTCAGATACACACACAGTCTCATACAATTTATAGGAATCGTGGGAATCGTGGGAATCGT